CAAAGACAACAAGAGATCAGAGAGGTCATCCAAGATCACAAGACAGAGGCAGAATTGGAATCTGCTGGAAATCCAGTAAGTCTATTGAATCGATGTTTGTCACTCATTTACTGGGTGGAGTCAAGCAGAGTTGCTTTCAACTCATAGCTTGTCTGGGTCTCAGCGAGGCATAGGGACATGCAAGTCACTCCTGTCTCTGGGCCTCATCTGTAAGACGGAGATAAAAATGCTATATACACACTCCACTTTGCCGATGCAAGTAATAAATAATATATAAAAAGTTTGATGCTGTGCCAGAACACGGTTAAGCACATAACAAATAGGCCTTTGTCTCCTTCTTTATGTCGTTAATATTTATAGCAGTAGTAGCASTAGCAGCAGGTACACAGGTGTGTCTGGCCCATAATCCTGCTCACTCTGCTAAAATACACTGCACTGRTTTCTTTCTCCCTCTCCCTTTGCCACGCATATCCTTCTTTTCTTTCTTACTGTTTTACACAAGTTTCCCTCACCTTCTTTCCTATGGCTTATATGTAAATCCAACTATTCCCTGATTATAAATACATATACATGACTGGGGCAGTGCGTCCTACCTATCTTAGTCTTTGCCACTCAAATTTACCAGAGCAATATAGAATGTAGGGAAGGGGTAGGGAAGCCTACCCACGATCCTTTACATGGGCCATTCTTTAAAACAGAGTTTAACTTCCTAACAAACATTTTAATATTGTTTTTCGTTTCTGGTTTGCATATTCCTGCACCCGGCGAATAGGTTTGAGGGTCTTCCTTGGTTACACCAATGAAACCTCATTTTCCTTTTGTATTTTAGCTGAGTTAGAGATGTCAGGAAGGAGAGAAGTCACCAGCCTGGYGTAGGCATAAGGATGCATTTCACTTCTGAATTAATTCGGGGATCAAGTACCCTTCTGGCAACAGGACAAACAGGTTCATCAAGAGCTTTGGCTCAGTGGTGTACAAAGCCCTTCAGAATCCCAGTTCTTACCTGCATCTACCCCAAGCTCCCGGCCCCCAGAAGAGATGATGACAGGTCCTTGTTCCGGCTCTGTGTGCTGAACTTGGTTTCACTCCCACTGGGGGATCTGAAACATGGACACTGCATCCCACAGAGCCAGTGCCAAGATGACTGCCTCACATCTGCCCCTACCAGGCTGCAAAAAGACCTCGCTACCTAACCTCATCATTAAATCTCCCCAAATGGCCGGACAGGTAGAAGCCACTGGCTGGGCAAAAGGTTGATGTCTAGAACTTCAGAACAGAGAAGGGCCCCACACATCTGGCATGGAATCTTTTAAGAAATTGATTCTGAGAAACCTCTCTTTCTATGGTCAGTCTTATTTTTAGGACAGATACATGTGTGGAGCTTCCGCACATGTGTATTCCTCCTTCTTTGAAAAGTCAGCTGAATGCTCTAAAGAGGGGCAATTGGCACAGTTCTTCAAACCCGGATGCTAAAGATGCACAACATTAGTACAGGACTCAGGAATAGGGATGGGATATAGAGGCACTCCGGAAGTGACCTGCATGGGTAAGGAAGGACACAGAGAAACCAAACTGGTAGACATCTCTAAAAGTTCTTCTCTAAGCAAATCTCTTTATATTACCCATCTCTCCAGTACTCTTTGTGTTCCTCTTAGAACATCACTTTCAACATTATATTAATCACACATGGTACATCCCCACCCAGAGTGTGAGCTCCCCTCTGACACCATGTCTTGCTGCATCTGATTTATCTTTGCATCCCATTCAGAGGTGTATACATAGTTGTTTTGAAAGAACACTGAATGAATAAGTGGACATATATTCAACCAGTGACACATGGGACTTATTTATGGTCAGAAGATCTTGCTCTAGTAGTGTTCAGTAAATTATCTAATATTATTTGCCTTCATATGAAGATAAAATAACTGAATGGCTAAGGTAGTTACTTTGGTGATGCCCAATGAACTATGATAGCCATCCAACTCCCATGCCCTGTCTAGTCCTTTTTCAGCAGAGGCTGGTTGAGGACTGCTTGGTGGGACTTATCCTGGATTGCAGGCTCTTGGCAGCCCTGAGATACTGTGTAAGGAATTCTGTCCAGCCTGCTGGACCAAACACATGAAAGACCATGGAAGAAGGAAATGTGGAAAGGCCATGCTGTGAAAGAGGCCAGCCACGTCTAAGTCCCAGAAGAGCAGAACCCAGCCCAGGATGAGAAACAATAAAAGGGTTGTTGTTTTAACCATTAGGTTTTGGAGAGAACTGTTACTTAAGAATAGAAATCATTGCTTTCTTCATGGAATGATTGGGACTAATCACACACTTGTGGAGGGGCTTTGTAAGTGATCACGTGCTAAGCATTTGTGAGGGGCTGCTATCTCTGGGCACAGGTGCAGGTTGAGTTTCATGCTGATTTGTAGAGATATGTCCATTTAAAAATTAGCCTGAGGGAGTCCATTCTCTTATAAAGCACAAAGTAATGTTCCTATCTAACATTAGGAATAATATAACCTTTGGTATAACCTTTATATCCAATATAAGCTTTGGTTTCTTCTATAGCCTATTTTCTTTTTACCTGGGCAGCCTTCTACACTTGTGGGGAAGGCTGGGAAGGGGGCTGGTGAGATGCACACTCATAGCTTAATGAAAATTAAAATTTATAATTTATAAATTATATAATTTATATAATTTATAAATTGCCATCTAAACAGAATAGGAAAGATGTACCACTTTCATTTATCTTAAGAAATGGAGTTAATTTGAGAACTAGTCAATGCTTATACTAGTTATAAATATAAGTAGCAAAAACACTTGAGAAGGCTGAGCTAGAAAGGAGAGGGAGCCAAGGAGGTCCATATCCAGAGTTGAACAGGCTCAGAGGAATTGAATTATATCAATCAAATTCCCAAGAGACCCCAGTGACAGTTCATGCACTTGCAATAATAAATGTAATTTCCAAGCCAGAGTGCCAGGCTCTCAGGTAGTGGGAAAACAGATACTTTAAGCTGCAAAGGGCTTCGTGTCTGGAAATGGCATGGGGGTGGGGCAAGGACACGCTCCTAGAGCCATGAGTGGTGGTGCATTTTGAGTGTGCTGAGCAATGAAAGTGGACTGTTACAGGAAGCCTAGATTGTGCCTCTTTTTATGCACATGGAATCTGTAATCTATTTCTAACCAGGCTGAGAGGTTGCTTTCTGCTATTATAGTTTATGAGTGGTAGGGAGATGTTAGGCAGATGCGTTCCTTCTCTCCAAAGAATAGTGGAAAACTCCCTTCTTGCATGAAAAACGGGATAACAATGGAAGGATTTGGAAAATTCATGAAAGACCCTTGGCAAGCCCAGGTCAGACATTCTCATTCTTCATCCAAAAAAAAAAAAAAAAAAAGTTCTCATATTACCTGCACCTATTATTTTACGTCTATATTATAAGGTTTGCTTATATGCTAGACCCTAAACTTTGAATTAGAATTATATCATTCATCTTTATCTAGTCAGTCCCAGCATAGACACTGTCATACAGGGCTGTTCAATAAATACATGTGCAGTTAACTAAAAGTCTGATGTTTCTAGAATCTGAAACATTGCAACAGCTTCTCACTTGGAATGTTAATGTTACCCCTTTGTCATGATTTGAGAATGAGAAAAGGTAAAGGTCACTAGATCCTAAGTCCCTCTATGAGAAACCTGCAGCTCAGCTGGACTCCTCTGGTGGCCCTTTTGGTCTCTTGGCTTTGGACAGCCCCATGGAAATTAATCCTATTAAGACTGGACCTCTCACCCTAGCCCAGGATGCATCAGCCTAGGCTCCCAAAGACTTCATGTCTCGCTGAAATCAGGTTTTCTTTAACCTGTGCTCATTCATTCTTGCAGAACCTTCCCCAGATCAAGTGATCCTCTTCTTAGGCGATATAGGGAGCGAGACATGAACCCTTTTGCAGGTCCGTGGCTCTCCATGGCGGTGAGGCTGGAGGTCAACGCGCTGCCTGTCCTAGTGCGGGAATTCCACACCACACCTGGCGGGGCATGAGAGGTTTGGGCGGGGACAACTCACGGTGGGGTCAAACRGGGAGGGAGGCGCTGCTGCTGCCCTTACAGCTGAGAACACCGAGACACCCTTAAGAAATATTAAGCAAAATCATTTTATTTACTGTGAAGATCTTGTAACTTGACCCAAGCAGAGATGTACTGGGTCCTGCAAACATTCCTAAAATCTGAACGCAGTGCATATGTCCCTCTGTGTCCCTCACGCCATTTCAGGCCAATATCTCACTTAATACCTCGGACGGCATGAGACAGTTGACAGCAGTTCATTCCGTTGCTCTCCTTTCCATTCTACTTTTTGCACACTATTCTGATTTCAAGGAAGTAATTTGGGGTGGTTATGGGAGCAGAGCAAGAAAGAAGGTGCTAGGCTGAGCTGGGTCCAGGAGAAATATTTATAAGTCTTTTCCTTTAATTCGATCTAAACCAGTCTTTCCCAAAGTTGACTGCTTGGGAAGCTTTCAAAACAATTAATGTCTGGATATCACCCCAGAGGGTCTAATTTAATGAATCCGGGGTGTTGCCTGGGTGTCGGCGTTTTTTTTAACTCCAAAGTTTATTTCCAGGTTGCAAACTACTAATATAAATTCCTAATTTCTCTTTCCACTCTGACCAAAAAAAAAAAAAATACATGCTGAGCCCAGGTCTGGGGCCATAGGAATTCTCTGAACAACTCCTTTACGCCGCCCGCCAGTGCAGCAAAGTCTTGGAAAATCAGCGCGCGCGCCGATGCTAAACACTCCGGAGCGGCTGGGCGGAGCCGGTAGGTGGTGCCCCTCGGGGCCCCGCCCCTGCACGCCTATCGGCGCGCGGTGCGGGCCCTGACGTCACTCTTGTCAGGGCCGCGGCACATGGGCTGCCGGATGCGCTGAACCCGGCGCTGCTGGGCCGCGGAGCGCGGGGAGCAGCGGCTGCAGGCGCGGGGAGGGGGGTGGGGTGGGACGGCGCGGCGCCGCGGGTGCTCGCACTGGGGGCTAGGGACGGGTTGGTGCCGTCTGTCCTTCTGCAGCCGTCTCTCTCTATATTTTTTCTTTCTATTTTGCAATTTGGAACATTTTTGCAAGGCGAGGGGTTCGAGGCAGGTGAGAGCATCCTGCGCGTCGCCCTGGAGCCCGCGGGCACTTGGCGCGCCCTCCTGGGACTGTCTGCACCGAGAACCCCAAAGTTGTTTTTGATTTTTTTAAAAAAATATTTTTATGCAGATGTATTTATAAAGATATAAGTAATTTTTTTTTCTTCCCGTGTCTCTCCACCGCTTTGAAAGCGAGTACTTTGGCAAAGAACGGAGGAAAAAGCTCAGCAATATTTCGGGGGGTGATTGTCTTTCTTTTTGAAAGAAAAAAAAAACTGAGCGCTTCGCGATGGAGAAAATGTCCCGACAGCTCCCCCTGAACCCCACCTTTATCCCGCCTCCCTACGGCGTGCTCAGGTCTCTGCTGGAGAACCCGCTGAAGCTCCCCCTTCATCACGAAGACGGTGAGCGCTGCAGCGGCCGCCGCCGCTTCTTCCATCCGGGCTGTCCCGCTCTGGGGAGGGACGACGCTCCTGGGGTGCCCCCTCCTTGGCCAGGCACCCGGTTGGCCKGCTGAAGCATCTCTCCCCTTCCCTCCCTGACCCACCAGCTCTCCAGCCTCGCTTTGTGGAAATTAAGGAGCTCACCCATCTCCCATCCTCCTCAATAAAAAGAGGTGATCTCTCCTGACCAACATTTACAATAGCGCTGGGGACCTGGCCCAGCATCCACGGGGACCAGCTCCTGCAGCGCAGGTGGGAGATAAACTTGACAGGTCAGGATTGGTGCTTAGAATAGCGAGAGTGGAACCGTCTGCTGGAGGACAGAGCCTCCTCGGTTGGGGAGGAGATATTGGGGGCCTAGTAGGGGTTGGAGGCTCCAGTGAGGTGGTCTTCAAGGGCGTAGCCTGAGTATTGGAATTGTGTTACTGCTTCTGTTGTTGTTTAGTATGTAAAACTCGAGGAGGTGTGAGTGGAGACGCGTTTTCTTCCGMTGAAGGGTAATTGAAACAGCGGGGTGGGGGCTGGTGGGGGGAGTGGTCTCTCGGCTGGCAGCCGTGCACGCCTCCAGCGCTSACACTTTGCCGGTGCACTTTTCCTGGTGGGAGGAGAGAACGGAGCAGGCTCACGTGTAACCGCGCAGGAGCCTCCTCTGGCCTGAGCCCTTTCGTGGTAAGTCCCCAACCTTCCCTAGACAACCTTGGCTGTAGCGCTAGAGGAGGGGTACGTAGATGAGAGGAGGCATGGAACCCCACTGATGCCCCCAGGGATTTGTCATTGGGCCAGTGCGGTTTCATGCTTTTGATTTCACAGTAACAAATGCGAATCATGCAGCTCATGCATAAAGTCTTGAAACATTATTGAGCTGCACATAGCTTCAGAGTATTCACATCTTTTCTGGGAGGGGACAACCTGTTGCATTGCAAGAGCTGAGGTGTTTGGTTGTGGTCTGCAGASCATTCCCTACCTCTTCCCTTACGGAATAGCCCTTTGGAGGAAGGGTCTGGCTGCAGGCTTTTGCTTCTGTGGGTGTTTTAAACCAGATTCTCAGATGAGACTGTAGAGAGCTAGAATGGAGGCTGTGTTTCTGCGAGATAAAAACTCAGAAGCAAATTCCTTAATCCCAGTTCCACCCACTCCTGAGTACTAGAATTGGCAAAATCTAGAGCGCCTGTTAAGGACCTAATCTAGCGAGCAGTATTTCCATGTACAAAATAGCTGCACAATTCTATCAGAGATATATAGAATAACTCACCTTTTCCTATAGCCCAGCTTTTGACCTTTGCATAAATGTATCATTTTTGTGACTTGGATAATACTTAAGTGTTTGGGGAAGAGAAAGAAGAAAACACTTTTTATTTACTTCTTTTGTAAAACAAAACAACAAAAAAACAATGATGCCCCTGCAGCTTTCAAAGCAGCAGTAGATACTATGTGCCCAGTGGCTTTCAAAGAAGAGTAGGTACTGGATACAAAGTATTAGAAAAGGGTGGAGAGTTTYTGCTTTACTAAGATTAAGAGCACCAACACACTGGCTTTGTAAGTCTCTGCGACCTCATATTGTTTCTGTGATAAATTTCGGAAAGATAAGTCAAGCCAGGTTTTTGGTGATTTTCTTAAAAGTCACATCCATTGTATGTAATCCCAGGTGCTATTTTCTCACTTTATAGATTTCAATAATTTATCTCCTCCAATAATCACTGAAGACTATTCTCTTGTTTTTATCCCAGATCAGCCTTGTAGCCCTATCCCACTGACTAGTGCTTTCTTTCCAAAGTAAATAGGAAGATGTTAAAAAACAGGCAGAGATCCATGTCCTGCCTGAACTTTTAACTCTAAATCCMCAAAACAGCAGCCAGGAGCCTGGTGCTCCTGAGTGCTTTTGTAACAGACAGGGTAGTCAGAGCGACTTTTCTTTCTTCTTCTTCTTCTTCTTTTAATCCCAACTTTCCCTTGTTCCGCAGCATTTGGTAAAGATAAAGACAAGGAAAAGAAGCTGGATGATGAGAGCAACAGCCCGACAGTCCCCCAGTCAGCATTTTTGGGACCCACCTTATGGGACAAAACCCTTCCGTACGACGGAGATACTTTCCAGTTGGAGTACATGGACCTGGAGGAGTTTTTGTCAGAAAATGGCATTCCCCCCAGCCCGTCCCAKCATGACCACAGCCCTCACCCTCCTGGGCTGCAGCCGGCTTCCTCAGCCGCCCAGTCGGTCATGGACCTCAGCAGCCGGGCCTCAGCACCCATTCACCCTGGCATCCCATCTCCMAACTGTATGCAGAGCCCCATCAGACCAGGTAAACTCTCTGGGAAGACTCTCACTTCAGATGGGGAGGAGGGCGAAGGGGAGGGGTTGGAGGGAGGTGGCACCACTGTCCTGACACTCCTAGGTTTCAGCATGCTCCACCCACAGCAGAGGCTCTTCCACTGCAGTGAGCATCTGTGCCACTCACCTGGAGAGTCAGTTGGATGCACTCTGCAGACCTACCCCTGGAAATTTTGATTTTTTTCAGGTCTGGGGTAAGGGCCCAGAAATATGTATTTTAGCTAGTTTCCCATGGGAAACTGATCCTAGGAATAGCAGAGTAAACTATACCCTCCTRCAGATAATGGCAGGGATAATTTAAGCATCTATCTTATTTCCTATTTCTTTCCCCCATTTCCCAAACACATAGCTAATAGGATTTGGCTGCATGGTTTGGGTAGATGTTTTAGAAGGCTTGGTTTATCTCTGTTTATTCTTCTATTGCCTGAAGTGCAGACATGTGAATAGAGGTAGGTCAGGTATTTTTTTTTTCTTCATTCATCTTGTTCTGTCACTGAAGAATCRACTCTAAAAGCAGGTATCCTATTAACTGAGGTTTAGCCTCTTCCTTCTCTYGCCCATTGCCATTTCTGTGAACCAAACTGTTCTTACATTTTGTTTTTATTTTCATTTGTCCATCAGAGTCCATCTCTATCAAAGCCCACAAGGCTGCAAAGTCAGCTGTAAATGATGTTGAAATGTTACACAAAAATATCACCTGAAGAGGGCTAGTGCTTTAAAATCCATTGCTAAGTGCACAGAGATAAACACAGATTGAGGCAACTCTGGATTCATGCCTTTAGCACCCCATAGTACAAAGGGAACAGGAAGAAAGATCATTTCATGTGCCCAGGTAACCAGGAACAAGGATTCAGCCTGGTTAATTGACAGGAAGGTCACCAAGCAGAGAGCCTTCCCTGCAGGGGAAGACAAAAAGCAGGACAATGTGAGACTTGTGTGGGAGATTGTTACTGAACTCCATGTCCTCGACTCATTGCAGAAATTTCTGTGACATGCGGAGTGAGATTTAAGTGGAAGGAAATGAGGTGAAGGAGGAAGAGAATACCTGTGCCTTGATACATTAGTATTGAAGTTCAAGTTCACCCTTTTAAATAGATCTGGCTTTTCAAATCCCTCTTGTCCCTTCTCCAAAACCCACTTTGAAGGATAACTCCAGGCCACTGGCTGGAATGGAACAAAGTCTTAACCTCCCATCAACCCTGGAGGCTGCAGGAACCTGAGCAAACACTCCTTTAAGGGAACTGGGACCCCTTCTGCATAGAATGTCTAGTGCCACTCTCCTCAGTTTCTTCCTGGGAACAGACAACCAGCAAAATACATAACTCTTCCAAGGGGAAAGACGGCTGGGAAAAGGAAGCGGAGCCGCAGGGGTCACACGTGTTGGAGCTTAAGTCACTCTGCTGTGCAGTGAGACCTTTGCTACTTCAAACATGTTTGACCTAGGCAAATGGCATGGCCTCTTGGAGACTCAGTGGCCCTTAGTGTCAAAGGGTATAATTTTTATTTGATGGGGTTGTTGTGAGAATTACAAGGTCAGGTGCATAAAGTGTCTGATGATTTGCACTGGGGTCCCATTATTGGGAGGGGGATTGCYGTCCTTGTTATAGCTGTATCAACTTTAACCATTTATTCTAATCCTCATCCTCTGAAATGCCTTCTTAAAGTAATTAGGTAGAGTGTACGTCCTTCCTCTGGAGGGAAGTGTCAGATTTTGCCCAGTAGCTTTTGGACTGTCTTATTGAGAGTCAAAAATCAGGATTTTGGAATTTGATACTTGAGTCATTTTYCAGAGCTTGTTAGGAGTTTATATCAGTCAATGACTTACAGCAATTTGGGCTGTCCCAGGCAGAGTTGCAATCCACAGCAAAGAGCTCCTGAGCCCCTGTGGGTGTCCTTTTGTTACTTTATAGTAGAAAGGTACACACACTGAGTCTCTGGAAATAAGCTCTTTATTTCAATATCTTTTTAGAAATAGTGGAAATGCTCTTCAAGAAAAGTTTTCTTTTTTTGAATTGAAAACTCAATGAGAGTCCTAACAGAAGAGAGAAAAAGTTAAAGCTCTTCTTCAAATGCCAAACAGATAAAAATCACACTCTGCTGTTCATATAGTGTTGGCCCTTATAAAGATGATAATGCAAAATGAAACTCTAGGGGATGTGGGCTTGATGGATGTGTATCAGAAGCCAGTCTGAAAATGGAGAATGTTCTTGATTATTCTGTGTAGCTCACAGGAATGACCAGAATAGAAGTACCAAGTGAAATCTTGAGGAAAATGAGTCCTCAGAAGGGAAGAACACAGATGTAGCCTTGAACATTCTGGGAACTGTATAATTTCATTCTCAGTCAGGAGTTCTCAATCTTGGTACTACTAACATTTTAGGTTAAGTCTTTGGGACATCATCCTGTGCAGTGCAGGATGTTTAGTGACATCCCTGCCTCTACYCCCCACATGCCCATTGCTGCTATCCTCCAGCTGTGACCAGTAAGGATGTCTCTAGTCACTTCTAAATGTCCCCTGGGGGATAAAATCACTCCCAGTTGAAAGCCAATGGTCTAGACCTTCAACCTGGCAACACTTAGACTTAATTAAGGGCCCTGATGTTTTTTACCTTCCGAAATATTTTATGACAAAACTTTTGGGAAGGTCAGGAGACAGTAGGTTGCCAAGAAGAGAGAGAGTATTAAAAAGAACGTTGTTAAACACTTCAAGTTGATAAAATATGAAGTCATCAAGCTAATCAGGAGATAATTGCAGAGCAATTTACTAAACATTTGTTTTCAGCTGTGTACTCAGTGAGCATCTTTTGAGTTATGCTCAGTTGCATTGTGTCGTTAGTACTGTCTGGTGGAAAGGAAATAAAGCCATAAACAGACAAATTACAGATTACGAAATCCACCCCACGGGTATCTTGGAGTGACAAGGTGAGCATTCTTGTGAATTCTCAGAACTATGTACCATGACTCCTCGGGGCCTCAGCCTCCTTTCCTATTTCGTCCACCCCAACCATATTTCTCTGATCAAAGAGTGAATCAAATCTCTGAAGAAATACTCTAGGGATCCACGAACATCTGATTTGGCAATGATGCAGCTACCATGTTTTCTGAGCTGTCCCCTCAATAAAGGGAAGAGTGGTGGTTCTCGGATGCTGTAGTTACCTCCAGGGTCTTCAAGTCACCTGAAGTGCAGCATCCTGGATGTGGCCAGGTCAGCAAGGATGACAGGAATCATCCTGAAGCCTTCAGTGTTTGCATTTCAGATGGTATCATAGGTGGTATGTGGGGATGAGCTCCTGGAGGTATGTGCTAGGTATTGGGGAAAATAAAAACATGTTTGTCCTGAGAATTAAGCGATTGCTTTAAGGACAGCTGTCCCTTTAGGGAAAGTCATCTAAAGCAGACAAAGGCAGAGTTATTTTTAAACCCCATGCTTGTAAAGCTAGATTTGAAACGGTTTCCTCTGGTGGTTTTTCTTTGAATAGCTTGGGGGTGTCTTACCGCTTTTAGGCCCCTAGTCCACTAAGAATTAGGAAAGTTCTCTTTTCAGTTGTGAGTGCAGAGACGGGGTAATGGTGAAGGCTTGGTATAGAGTCAAGTGGAAGCCTTTCTGTGTGGTCGTGTGTGGGTAGAGGACTTAAGTGGGTGGCATAAGAGAAGGGTTTGGGGAAGCCCTGCTGTACCTCTGCAGTGCAGATGCTGACCATCCTTTGTGACAAAGATTGTGCTACTCATGGGCACAATGTAGTGATGGGGGGAGCTCTGCTGATGGGTCTGGGATAATAGGAGGTCCTGCTGAGGCAAGAGGACTCTCTTGCTTTTCCAAATATCATGAGATGGAGCTCCCCTGAAGGGCAGAAGTGTCCCCTAACTTACCGTGGAGCATAGGCATGTCCTCAGGTTGGCATGCTGTGACTGATAATTGATCGTTGTCATGCACAGCACCTGGGTCTCTTGGAACTGCCTCCTTTTTTTTATCAGGATCAAGGGGATCATGCGGGGCAGGAGTCCACTTTGTTCTAGAGTTAGGCAGCCTATTTTCTGCTTTTTAGGATTCTTTATCTTCTCCACCAAGCTCTATAGAGGATGGGCTTCCCTGTTCTCTTGGCTTTGCCATGTTGCTCTCATTCCCTGGATGGCAATCTCTTGCCTGTGGCAAGGGGTGCTTTGGGATAGGTGTGGAGAGCAAGGCCATTTGATGGGTAGGAGTGCAGACTCTGAACCTTGGGGTTTGGTCTTTCATCCTGGACCTGCCATTGGCTTGCCATGTAACTTGGTGTCAATTTCCTAACCTCTTTAAACTGCAATTGGCTCAWCAATAGAATGGAGATTGTGAACAGTCTGTTCTCCCTTGTGGGGCTTTAGCAGGATTCAAGAAGATAAAACCGAGGCAGAGGATGGCATGCTATCTGTCCCGCACATGCTCAGTGCATGGGTCCCCTGTGAGGGCAACCACCTGGGGGGAGGGGAAAGAATGCCTGGCTTCCCAACCCCTGTTCTCCATTCCATTTAGGGATTTGTTCATCCAGTCCTTTTTCCTCTGGAAAAATAGGGCATGCTTTTCTTTCTTTCTTTTTTTTTTTCCTTTTTCCAGCATGCCCAATACTTATTCTCTGCAGCCGACCTGACCTTTCTCTTCCTTCTGGGTTAGGACGAATCACTTCCCTGATGTTAACCCAGCAACCTTGCTTCTGGGTTAGCAACTCCTGTTCGACCAGTGTGGAAACAGCCACTGTCTCCATGCCCAGCCCCCCAGCTCTCGTGGGAGCCCTGGAAGCCCTGGCTGCCAGCCTGCAGGACCGTGTGCTCCAGGCACGTGGCTGTGCCCTGTGGAGCTTGCCCAACTCTGGGTGGTGTGCTGGCTTGCCTTTTTTTTTTTTTTTTTTCTTTTTTCCTTCTCCTCCTCCCTCTTGCTTCTCTTCCCAGGAGAACTACAGCAAATGCCAGTGAGCAATTGTAATCCTTACCCTGGCATGA